AGGATTGCATCATGGCATCTTTCTGCGTCAGGGAATTATGCTGTAGCTCGCCCCAGGGATTTCTGCGGTATCAGTCTGCAGAGTAAATTCAAAAGAACCTGATCCTTTTAGTGCAGTTTCTATAGACAAGAAAAAGGGATGCAGTTTGCCACCCGACATTTCCAATTGCATGTACGTCCTCAAGCAACGTGTGTTATATATATTTCGCTATCCCATTGCATCAGCTGTCCGTTTTAGGGGGATGCAGACCTATATCTCCCCGTGGTACTTACCGCCCTGCCTGGTGTCTGCTCTCCCTCTGCAGAGCAGCACGCGTGGCGTGGCGTGGCGTGGCGTGCACGCCTCCCTCCACAGCGTCCTCGAGGGAAACGAGAGCAGCCAGCAGCGCTGACGCTAGGCACACTTAGCATGAAGAAAAGCCAAGTCGTTGGACCAAAAAACAAGTAAATGCAGTCAATGACAGTTTTTATTGATGAACTGCCTCTCTGAATACTTTATTACCATATTAGAAGCCTAGGTTTTCAATTGAAACCAGCTGTCACTGGCTTAGTCTCTGTTTCCTGAACCAAGGCAAGCAGCGCGGCCTAAGTAGCCAGAATCTCGTGCTTCTGAAAAACAGATCTGTTTTCACCAGCCGTGAGGCCAATAATTCTCTGCTGATTCAGGTTTCAGAGAAACCTCAGTCTGAGAAAGGACTGCATGGGAGGTTCTACAAGTCCCCAGAAACTATCTCCTACCTCATAGGTGTTCTTTGATCCTAGGCTGTTTGTTCTTGGGAGAAAAAAGAAATGTGAGCACTTGGTATAAGAGAAATACACCCATTTACTTAGAAGTAGAATGGAACTAATATTAGTCACAAACATTAGTTTTGCATGGAGAATGTGGCATTCTTTCCCCCTCAAGGAAATGCTTGTGGTGCAGTTTCCTTCATCAGAAAAACATGGCTAAACACGTCAGGGAGTTTTGTTGTGCAGGGGAAGCGTGGGAGCACTTAGGACCAAGTCAGCATTAAAAAATATTGATTTACTCCAGGTTGCCAAGGGATTGCGGCAGGTGTAAGGACAACTGTTCCTCCCACCACCCATCCAGCTGTGTTGCCTGCTGCCGTACTAAATATTGATGCTGACACAAAGCATCTCAGCAGGCCTCTGGGGAAGCAGCAGTATGAAGCAAGGCATGAACCCCTATCTGGGCAASTGCAAATCCACAGGGAACACAGCAAGAAACCTGCAAATGTCCCAGCACAAGCTRCAGGCAAGTTTCTTCTCTGGTCCAACTCCCTTATCCTCAATTACTATTTCCAGCATTCAGAAAATTCAGATTTTGTACCAACTTACACTTAGCATATATGTTTTATGTTTCTTTTGTAGTGATAATATCTTTTCTGCCTTGAAATGTGATGCATGAAAACAAAAAGGCAGCTCTGGAGCAGAATTATCAAAACACTGTACTATGTTTTCCTTATTTCCAAACACTGAGTAACATTTACGTTACGAGCAAGGGAGCCAAAACATGCAACCAACAAAACGGAGAGTTGGAAACAGCAGATCTGTAGAAAACCTTGAAATGTAGAAGTTTATCCCAAAGCTTGCTCCTATTCCACACGGGATGAGCAGACTTTGACAGTCGGAGCATTCAAAGCTGCGCTGGCTCCATGGCAAAGCCCAACCGTGCGGGGACATCGGCCTTGCTCCCTGATCAAAGTGACCATGGGTGACATTCTGGGTGACAACCTGAGACGGGCTCTGAAACCTTCCCTTCCTCCACCGCCACCTTCCTACGTCACGAGCAGCGTGGTCCATTGCATCTGCCAGGTTACTGCGCCRTTAGACTTTTACTTCAAGTAATAAGAACTGTTTCTTCCATATATATTCTCCTATGCTTTGTAAGAAGAGGGGTTTTGATTATTATTATGATGATTATTACTACTACATGCAAAAAAATGGTCCCTTACAGGGCATGGCAATTTTTTATTTGTTACTCCCAATGATATCCTCACGAAACAAAAAGCAGAAGAGCTTTAGCAACTTTTGGATTAAGCTCTTGTGCGGACAGTTTTTAAAAGTGTCCTTAAAACTAAGCATGTGCTTATGTTCCTTTTTTAAGCACATAGACATGATGTGCTTTTTAAGCACATGACTGGATTAACCAAGGAGCCCATGCAGGGGTCTCTCACAGGATGAGGTTCTGCACATTTCTGCGGTTCTGCTCACCAATATCTGCTTTGCTTACAAATAATAAACAGGACTAATTGCCAAAAAAAAAAAAAAAAAGTAAAATGCATTAAATATTATGAAATCACACACCAGATGCCCATAAAATATATCCCCATTGATGGCAACTGAAGCACAATAGAGTTAAGTTGATAACTTGAGTTTTGATCTTTTTGGTGCTAGCTCCTCTGCTCAGATCTAGACCAAACTACAGAATATTTCCCAAGAAAAGTAAGGCTTGTTCCTTTTTATTTTCCTTCACAGTCTACACTGTCCACAGCTGTCACTGCTGCTCCAGCTTTCTCATTGCTGACTCTGATGACAATAGCGTGCCTTGCTCCGAAGGGCAGCAGGAGGAAGTGCTCCAGTCCATGGTGCTGGGCWGAGCCCTGGCAGTCAGGCCTAACACTTGTCTTTTAGTCATTTAGTGGCATCTGGCACTCACTGTCTCCTTGGAAGCAAGGAAACCAAGCAGACTCCTCTTATAGTTTTTGAGAAGCTGTCATCAGCTTAAAATGATTTAGCCTCAGCAACCACTCCATCTTCACTGTAAGGCCCTTACCTTAATTGGCGAAGACAGATTCCTGTCAAATCTGTACCATCCATCAGGGAGACATGGAAGAAAACAACTGTTTCAGGCCTTTGCGCAGCACTCAAACTCAAACTGAATTTGTTATAAAGTTATGAAACGTCTAAAACACATTTTTAAACCCTTCTGCTTTCCAGATGGGTCTGCATCCAGAGAGTCAAAACACCACCAAAAAAAAAAAAAAAGAAAAGAAAAAAATTGCTTTTTCCTGCTGCAATCAGAAGCAGCTGCAACCGAAGTGTCTTTTCTTAATTTTTTTTTTTCCAAAATAAAATAAGTTTAGATCATTGGAGTAAACTTTGCAGTTAGATGCARTTAGCTGCATCTAAACATTCAGAAGCACAGTGAGACGCACGTTTCAAATCCAGGGGGGCAAATTCTGCGCTAGCCTCTTTAATCCCAAGGAATAAAAGGAGCAAAAGGAGTAAAAGCCAAGGGACAGGACTCGGCCTTGCAGTCCTCACTGGGCTACAAGAAGGTCATTTAAATGCTCTACCACTCATTTTATCCATGGATCTAGAGAATCATGCTTGCAAAACAATATCAAGAGTCACATTTCTATCCTTACAATTGTTATTATTTCATTAACTGTAAACATGTGGAGCGATTCTAAATATATTCAATATTCTGCTGAATATTCTATTCAGAATCCAATATCAGCATCTGGGGCTTTAGAAAGCAAGATGTTAATAGGCTCTAGCACTTGCTAACTTAGATAAGTGGAAAAGGTGGTTCTAGCTCTTGGGCTTATAAGAAATCTGRCTGATATCTGTCACAATCATAATTGGTAATAAAAATTATTTAAAGATTTATTATAAATATTGCCGGAAAGGAGATAACAGACATGCAGCATTGTTTACAGTAAAATTTCCTGTAAATTAAAAAGAGCCCTTATTCTGTGTTTGGTTTTGATTTGGTACCGTACCAAGTATCTGTTTATAGAAGGAAATATCACAGTATTAAGTGTACGGAGTGAATTGCGAAAGAGAGCAACAGCCAAGGTGAGTTTGCTTTAAAGCAAGGCCTAGCAACCCTGATACTGCAGGTCCCAAGGAGCTCAGGAAAGTCATCCTAGGGCTTTGGTGTGTGATTCCCAAGAGCCCTCCAGCCGGAGAAGGCACCCCCTTGGCTCTGTGGCAAGGTCAGTGGCACCTGGGGTCATACACCAGGCTTGGACATCCCTAATCCATGTCACAGCTGGCTCTGACACCTAAGCAGGGCTTCCTGAGAGCTTTCTCCCGCACCTTGCTGAGGAACTGCAGCTACTGCTGGCACTAACTGGAGCTGAAGACCCTCTGCATGACGTGGAGACCCCAGTTGACTGGCGATGGGTTTGCTTTGCTGAGAGGATAAAGGACACAGCAATGRTATCGTGGCTGCACAGCCAAGGGGTGCATCCCTGGGAAAAACCTGAACTACTTTTAGAAAGAATTTCAGGTAACAAAGAGATAAGTCTGGGAAAAAAATGTGCAGAGCTCTATATAAAAAAAAAATTTAGATAAAAAGTGGGTAGTGTGTTTCAAAGGGTTTATGTTTAGGTGACTTTTTTTTTCCTGTGATTCATTTTTGCTGAGCTTTTTCACTTATAATGTTTTCCAAAGCTGCTTATTATAGAGTCTTTCTGAAGTCACAGTTACATGGCAAAGTGTGTCACAATCTCAAATCATCCCATCCCACATAAAAACTTCAGTGAGGAGTCTTAGAAGAAGAAAACATTCCCAGAATATCTGTATAAGAAGTATTCACAGTTGAAAAGGAATAGTGAAAATGGATATAACCTATTTCAACAGGAAGCTAGAAAACAACCTATTTTGCAGAAGCAATTGCTGAAGTAGCCAGGGACCCATCCTGGTCTCTCTAGAAATTGGAGGACCATGACTACAACTTTGTCAATCTCCATAGTACCCACCCAGGGAGGAAAAGGTTTATGGACAGAAGCGCTGGATCAGGGGCACGTGAACTCTCTTTCTGTGTACTACAGAAGATTGACACAACTGATAAAATCCTAAAAATACTGACAATACCTGGACCCAAGAGTTGCACAGATTCAAGGGCTTCACTCCAAAGAGTTCTAAGATCCATTATTCCATATTTAGTGCATGAAATTAATACTGCTCTTTTGATTTTGTAAATCCAAATAAAACCAATTTGCAGAAGATRTGCTATCTCACTATACAAGTTCAGCCGTTCACCCTTACCTGGGGGCACGTGCTCATTCATGATGACGAGTGATGCTGGGGTAGGTCTTCGTTTCCTGATCTGTAACATGCATCAAAAGAGAGTCATCAGGGACCACCAGCCAGCCTGTTCCCAAAGCAAAGTGCAAATCCATCTGCTGTTCTCCGGAGAGTGAACTAGGTTAACTGTATTAGGTTAACTAAGCTAGCTAGTTGATTGAGTTAAAAAAAAAATATTCAAAGAACAGCAGCCTTACTAACTGCTCTTCAGAATAATCACACTAGTACTTGCATAGGAAAGCAACAGYGCTGGGGAGAGCTCCCAAAATACTTCAGGATTTGCAATTGTCTTGAATAATTTATTGGGCCTGTTTCCCTGAACAATTTAAGATATATATCTTAAAATATTGACATCTAGCTCAGCYTCAGGAACATGATTGTAGTGGATTTTAAGCTTATATACACAAATGTCTATTATTATTATTATTATAAATAATTATTAATCAATTATATTTTGCAATTCCACTTGAGAGCCAGTATTGCACATATGCCTTCCAATTAAATTGATTAGGAATATTTCTAAGATGTAGCCACAGGCACTATAATCATTCGTTTGCTATAGGAAAACAATATGGAATACCTCTAAAAAAAAAAATTCCTAACACCATAGCATAAGACAAGCACTATAGCACAGATAATTACATATTAATGTATGWCTAAATTGTATATGATTCTCCTTACTTAAAATGTATTCAGTTAAGGTTAATGTTAGGYATTTAGCTTCATGGTATTGGACTACCCTCACATAACAGCCACGTTTGTGCTGAAAGCTCCGTGTTSCTGTGTTGCTAACGCCTCTGGCCTATAATTTGAGAGGCGGATCAGCTAGAAACCCAGGAACCATCCTGAGACCAAACCTCAATGTCAGTGTGGCTGTTCTTTCTAATTGCTGAGCCAACATCTGTGGATGTCTGGGTTCAAATTTTGCTTTCAAAGGTGGACATGGAAAATTACATCACCAGGATTAACGCGGTTAGTGTAAACGTAGATGATAGCAGAATTTATTAGCGCGCCTTCTTCCCACAGCCACGGTATAAAGGTATAGCACTTAAAATTACGACATAAGAAAAAGGGACTGCCCATAAATACCAGGCAGAATTTGGCYGATAGCATTGCAGAAGTTGTAGGAATTCAGTGAAATCCTAATCCTCTGATTCTCCTAAACAGCAGGGCTCGTCCTGCGTGAATCAGTTGCCGTATGCTCCATAAGGCACAGACATCCTACAGTGCCAAGGTTCCTATGGACAAAATGAAGACCCGCAGCACTTCCCTGCCATGCCCTTCTAGTATTTCTCCACTCTGTGGTCAGCCACGACTCATCCCTTTCCAGCGGAGGCAGATGCCTCTGAAGAGACATGACATCAGAATATTCAGGAAACAAGATATCTGTCCTGAAGATGTGAATAATTTCATAGCTATTAACATGGACCCGTCAAGGTTATAATATTCCTCTGGTGCCACCTAAAAGTAGACCTACCAAAATAGCAGCGAAAGTCCAGAAGCACTTGCGCTGATATAGGTGATATACTAGGTGACCTAATTAGGATTTATCCAGTTTTTCTCCTAGAAAACATGTGCGCCTTTTTGTGTGTATATATATATACATATACAATATGCATATCTTTACACAACAACAGATTTTTTCCTCCACAGACTATTATATGTTTTCTATATGTGTATGCGTGTGTATGTGYACGGTTTGAGAGTCAAAACCTAAAATAGTACGCATGTTCATAACTGTGTGTGCATAATGCTACAGTTGGGCATATTTCTGCCCTTACATATCTTTCAGACACTTAAAGCACTGTAACAATAATAAAAAGAAAATAGTATCAAAATCTTGAATATACAGGAGCTGACTGAAGGGATAATCTTTGTGCAAAACATAAACCATATTTTCTCATGTTAAAAGGAAAGGTAGGGAACTCTCTTCTCTCTGGACTGTGCAGTATTTCCATCAGGTACCCTTAGTCAATTTTGCTTTTGGCTATATATAAAAATGATGCACTTTAGATGATCTGTTGAGAGCACATATTAATGTGAAGTCCATGCATCAGAGCAGAAAGACAGCTGTAAAAAAGGCACCATGAATAAATGCCGAATAAAGGTTCTAAGGGAAAGAAGACTTGCTCGAACTAAAGGACACATCCTGCTCTGTCTTTGGGCGCACCAAACACAGCGCTACCACCTTCAGATCATTTAAGCCACAGCTGCACTGATAAAAGCTAGGAAAGCACTCAGGCCACAGGTGCCCTCATTCCAACCCCCAAACAGCGAAACTTGCCTTTCTTACCTGCTCGGCTGCCTCGGGGTCTATCTGGCTCTGGAAGGGCGGCACGGCAAACTGTATCTTCTTGGGGCTGTTGGGCTCCATGGCGCTGCCGAGGGCGGAGAGGAGGGAGAGGAGCCGGGAGCTCCTGCGAGCGGAGGCTCGAGGYTCAGCTGTGCCCCCCCGGCGCCCGCCCTATGGCCCCGCGAGCCTCCCCAGCCGCAGCTGTAATTCCCGACTTAGCGAGGGAAGCGCTGCGAGCCGAGCAGCTCCCTTGTTCCACATCCACGGAGATGCCGGGGGATCGACTTTGGTTTTTTTTTTTTTTTTCTCTTTCCTCCTCTCTCCTCTCCGGTCCTTCAGATCCTCTCAGCACAAAGCTGAAAGGAACAATAAGCTAATTGTGCGCCCGCTCACTTCCACACATGCCAAGCGTTCACTCAGAAGCTAATTGAGAATGCAATACTAGCCCGRCATGGCCTGGTGCCCTGGGATTTGCAGAAGAGGATCTCTCCACCGTACATTACGAACTGGCTGCGCAAAAGTGCAATGCAAGCTCCCTCTGAGCATTGCTGATGGGCTCTTAATTATTGATGAACACAAATCAGGAAGTTTTCAGATTTTGGGGGGGGAGCTAGCGGGAGGAGTGGAGGTGCCTATTCCATCACTGCTGCAGCGTGCCAGGGCCACTCTCCTCTTCTCACGCGGCAAATGTTCTTTGCCCTTTCAAATCATTTCTGAGCCTCTTCCAGGAAGATTTTTGATGATGATGATGATATAGAGATGCCTATACAGATAAAACATATCTGAGTTTGCACCTTAGGCTAATTCAGATTTAGGCTGCAATCGCCTCTGATGGAATCCATCTCACGTAGCATTAGATGCTGAAAACTTTCACTTCATGCTGTCCTAGGGCAAGAGTACCAGCTTAAGTGGATTATAACATTCACTGGTGATGGTATTTTCTGTTCACCATCCCTGGAAAAAGTAAAGATGATCCAGATTAGATCTTACTTTCAGGTGGCTAAAACACCATCAGACACAGCAGAGAGTTACCAAATGAATGTCACAGAGATGAGCAGCCACTTGAGCAGAGTCAGATCTCTGAGCAAGAGGAGGTCAGGAGCAATGAGACAGAGAAGCTGTGAAATCCAGAGCTATGATCAAACCACCAAAATGCCAAGGAATTTGAAAACACACTTCCGGTCTAGGCCCCTGAAAACATTAAGGATTTTTACACTTCATCAGAGGTTTATGCTAAAGACAGTGAGTATTTTACCGTGCCCAGCCTTGCACTGCCACCTAAACCCGAGCCCAGGATGGACGGGTTGTTTGGCTCTGGTGTATACAAATGAAAGTTGTTAATGCATTAACGGCATACCAGGATATTTCTGGATGGAGACAGACACACGAGCGAGCTGAGGAACCAGAAATAACCCAGGAGGGGAGAAGATAGCCATGTTAATCAGTGATGGCAAAAGTTCACGACAAGGCAGAAAGGCCCCTCCTCGCCTACCTGAAGACATCCACGTGGAGACATCCACGTCGAACTCCCAGCCGACAGTGAGGAGCTGGGAGGGACGCCAATGGCTTCTGACCAACAACTGGCTTGATGTTTTGTCTAGGTGGGAGCTGGCCATTTGGGGCAGATATTAGCAAGCTGTGGCTTACAATGGATGTTGGGAGGGCAGAAGAGAAGCAGGGGGCTAATTACTGTAGAGCACATCGTAACTTAATAGTTTTTTTTATATTCTGCTACTTTGCTTCTCTAACAGAAGATGGGTAAAGAGTAGAATGAATCACTGCAGGGAGCATGTCTCATCTGCTAGTGCTTCTCCTGTTAGATTGACTGTGGTAGTTTATGTGGCATTAACCTAGAATCATAGACCCATAGAAAAGTCCAGCCTGGAAAGGACTTGCCCCCATGTTCTGTTGAAAGTAGGGCCTTTGATTCCAGTTAACCTGGACCTCCTCATACCAAGCCTGGAATGTTTTCTGCAAATGGCTAAGTACTCAATTTCATTTACAAATGAGAGACAGAGAAGAGTGTCAAGGCCAATGTTTAGTGTTTCATAAGACCATTTTTAAGTCTTTCCTACTCCTACAAGGACCCGTCATAATGGATTTTATAGACTTTCTTGGATAATTTGAGCCAGGGTGCAAATCCAACAGTATTGCTAAGAGGCTAGAGGGAAAGAAAGCGAGGCACACAGAGCTTTCCTCAGTGGTGGTCAGGGAGCTGTGGAAGGTTCTCAGAACAGCACAGTGATCCAATTTCACAAGTCCTTCAGGAGCTGATGTGCTACTTCCTTCCATGACAGCTCCAAACACAGAATATTCTTCCATAGACAGGGATATAGACAGATCTGAAGTTGTGGTTTGTGTCTGGTAAATTTTCACGCTCAAAAGAAAATAGGAAGTTTTGTTGGACATGACTGTCTAAAGGAATCATGTCTGAAAGTGGTTGCTAGCAATAGTATCTGAGAAACAAGTTCAACAGTCATAGGAGAAACATAATAAACAAACCAAGATGATCAGTTCCTGGCAGGCTCAGAGTGGAGCCAAGGTCAGGACAAGGCATAAGGACAGATTCTTGATGGAACTGGTACACCTCTGATACACCTGCTGGTGGGACATGTGGAGATGCTTGCCCTTGCCGGTCTCCTCTCTGTGCTCATTTAGAGACAGCTGCCAAACATTCCTCACATCACTGCAACAATAAAAGTATTTTTAAAATAGTATAAGGGGCATATTTCAGAGAGCACTCAGATATAGCATTTCATGATTACTGCATCAGCTCACCCTTGCACCTAATTTGCAGCCCTGGATGTCTCCAGGCAGAGAGTGCTTGCATTTTCTATAGACTGCATCATAGTCTGGGGAAGAGCTAAAATGCATTTAAGTACTGCCAAATCCTTTTAGCTCATTTTCTGTTTTTAGTGCACTCTCCACTATGTTTCAAATTCCTTTATGATTCAGCTAAAACTATCATGGAAGAAGAAAATAATAATAGCTGTCTAGGATCTTTCTATGTCATTCATTAGGTCTTGATATGAACCAGTGCCTTTTTATTTATCCTACGTTAACGATGAGCTATGAGAGCGTTCGGAGCACCGTTCCTGCTTTAGAGGGTTTCTCTGTTGTATATTTGAAGGGCTAAGTTTTTTTCTCAGCCATAGACACATCCTGCTCTGTCTTTACCGAATTTCTGCTATGGCTCTGGCCTGTCTCACTTCGAGCAGGGACTACTGAAGTATCASACTGGCGAGGACAGGAAGGGCTTGTAAAACCAGCACAGTGGTGGATGGGCTCCAAGCATTGCCAGGGCAGAGGCAGGGACACACTTGGCTGCCCTTCTCTGGTGCACTTGGGCTGCCTTTGTAGAGCAAGGACGCAGCTTCCCACTGGCACCTCTCCCAGCTCATGTCTTAGGGTGTAACTTTAACCCCCATCCTACCCACGCGTATGTGAAAAGCTTTACAAGGATATGTTGAATYGGTGCTTTCACTGGTCTCTCAGCTCTCCCCTTGTCAGCCTCTTCTTTGGGCACAAGCGGATTTACAAATAAAGAGGAAAATATAGCTGCCTCTATTTGTAAGATCTCTTTGGAACAGCTGATTTCTCTGTAGCAGTAATAATGGCAATCATACCAACTGCTGAAGTTGCATCAATTTGTGGACACCATCCACTATGCTCCARTTCCTTAATCATCTYTGTCGCTCTACGCTAGACCCTCTCTAGAAGTTCCACGTCTTCCGCGTCCCTCTTGCACTGGGGAGCCCAGAACTGCACACAATACTCCAGGTGCGGCCTCACCAGAGCTGAGTAGAGGGGCAGGATCTCCTTCCTCGATCTGCTGGCAATGCTCCTCCTGAGGCAGCCAGGATCCCATGGGCCTTCTAGGCCACAAGGGCACATTGCTGTCTTACAGTTAACTTGCTGTCAACCAGGACTACTAAATCCCTCTCCGTGGAGCTGCTTTCCAGCAGGTCAACTGCTAATCTGTCCTGGGGTCTGGGGTTATTCCACCCCAGGGGSAGGACCSTACACTTGTCCTTGTTGAACCTCATGAGGTTCCTCTCTGCCCAACTCTCCAGCCTGTTGAGGTCCCTCTGAATGGCAGCACAGTCCTCCAGAGCGTTGGCCACTCCACAACCTTGCTCAGGGTGCACTCAGTGCCCTCGTCCAAGTCGTTGATGAACAAGTTGAACAGCACCTGGCCCAGTACTGATCCCTGGGGGACACCACTGGCCACAGGCTCCAGCTAGACTCGGCCCCATTTGTCACAATGGGACATAATGGGACATAACCTGATTAGTCAAGAGATCCACGTGTAGTACAGGCTATCATTCAATAGCGTAAAGACTAAAATTCTGTTAACTTAGTTTTACATATGCATTTAAGCATACTACAGTTCTTTACTGAAGGTAAATCTAATACTTTTCAGTAAATTGAAACTGCTATTGTCAGTTTACATAAACTTCAGAATTAAATTATATTATCTTCTTTTCATATTAAATCTTCAATGCAAAAAGTGACCAACTGCAACATTGAATTAAACTACTGAAATACAAAAYTGAGTGTTTACTGTTATTTAAAAAAAAAAAATCAAAATACAGAACACGGAGAAGCCGAACAATGATGAACTTGCACAGTGTCAGAGCCCAAGTGGGAAAACTCAGTCTACAAGCACAGGCTGCCTCGTTACAAAAGGAAATGATTTTTAAAATCCCGGCTTTTGAGTTGGAGACTTAAGATTTCAATTCCTCTACTACCTCTTCCTTCATCTCAGACTACAAGCTCAAACCTAGAGAAGCCCAAGTCCYCAGAGAGCTTCCAGAAAGGAGCAACTGGGGAACGATACAACAGGCCGCATGGAGCAGCGAGTGGGGCCACTGGGTGAGGAGCCCCAGTGGTGGCTGAGCCCTCACTGGTGGGACACAAACCCACAGCGCCCAGAGCAGGGCTGGGAGCACCAGCAGGCCCAGATGGGTGCACAGGAACCCACAGGACTGTGTGGGGTGCACATGAGGGCCTCCCACTGTGAGTTAAGAGACAGGACTGGACACGAGGCCAAGGCACCAGTTTGGTACTAGTTAGGTCCCTCATCCCTCCAGGAGCTGAGGATGGAGAGGACACAAGCTCCTCTACACCTGCATTTAAGCGGAGYTGCATCTGAATGCCCCAGGCTGCGCTGAAATGGGCGCCTGGTCGGGTGCAGAGGCCCAGGAGAGGCTCATCAGGGCCATGAAGGTGCAACAAGAGTCCTAACAACAACAGCAACAGCTAAATGGTGTCAGGTGTAATTGTTACAGAATCGGTTCAAAATAAAAGCGTGTTTAAAAACACAAAAGACTGTGCTTAAATCTGTGGAACACGTTCCCACAGGTTGCTGCAGGTGCCAAGATTTTGCCTGAATTATAAAGGCAATTAGAGAAACTCTTGGAAAAACAATCCATCAAGGCATCAAGGATAGCACCTCTGGCCCACGAAATCCCGTTGTCCGGGCTGCTGAGAGCCACGGGAGCAGCCGGACAGTCGTCACGCTTCCCTGGCGCTATCTTCACCACACAACACCGAGCGCTATCGGCCTCTGCGGCGCCAAAACACCAGCCTGCTCCCACCTTTCCTTTAATCTACTCTGGCCAGACTTAAGTGACTAATTGCAACAGCACTGCTGCCATTTCAGTCGCATTGCTGAGATTATTTCCATTGTTTGGGTCAGGGTGAAAACATGGCTAGAAGGGAATTTTCCTGCAGAAGGAACAATAACAAAAATACTTTTCAGTACATATTTTCAAACTGTTTTYAAAAGCAATTTTAGCCTAAGCTTTATTTAATTTTTAGGACAGGACAATGACCTTTAAAGTAATTTCCTCTGCCATTATGCTTCTAGAACAAAAGCTAAAATTAAAGTCAAGCACACAAAACAAAAACACTTGTATAGACACTTTCTTTAAAAACAAACAAACAACAACAAAAAAACACTGTTAAACTCCCTAAACCCAGGCAACAACTAATGTAGAACAGCAACATTTTTAGAAAATAATGAGAAACCCCACATAATTACGTAAACCCTTACCATATTAGAAATACCATGGCATTAGGTAGCTATACCAGACTTCTCATAAGCAGAGCAGCTACTCACACACTCGGACAATCCTCACTTTTCATCATACTGTCATCTAATTTACTATAATTTGATCACCACTACAAAGGCTGTGCCCTTTTACTCTGCCAAAAAGAAAGATCTTTCTTTTTATTATACACTCCATCACTCAAGAAACTTGTGTGCACGATGCTATGTTGAATTATCAGGAGACTGTATTTCTTTTAAAAAAATTGTCATTTCACTCATTTCTACATAGAAATTTATGGCATGAATACAAAGGATGACAATCACATCTGAAAAATCACATCTTAAAATATCAAAGTAAATTTGCATTAGACCAAAGTAAATGTATGAACATCCTGTTTCCCCTAACAGTCAGATYACGTATTATTTTGGACATTATCATGTTAATTCAGAAGAATGGTTTGCATATGACTGAATCCACCCAGCAAATGGTTATTCTATCTTAAAATATCAGTCAAGTCTCTGAATTTTTTGTYCACTATAGAAAAACATTCTTCCAAAACATAGAAATCTTTGAGTAATTCAGATATAGCTCTGTTTTACGCTGCCGGTTATGGCTTGAATGTATCATTTTCAAGTCAAGCTATTGTACTCTCTCTCTAATCAATATTTTCCTGAGTGCAATTTCACTGAAATAGATTCACATGTGATAAAAACTGAATGAAAGTGTTCTAACCCATGCTATATTTTAYGTATAAGCCATTTGCTCAGAAGCACACAAAACTCAAAAGATAAATGTTTTCWCACAGGATTTCAAGTAACACCACTGATCAACATTGGGGGCTGCACTGCATCAACAAGGCTTTAMCTTTTCCCCTTCAACAAGACAGCAAGCAGCAAACAGGTCCTTAGGAAACACAGGTCTCACCTTCGGCACCCCATGYCCCACAGACGCAGGCTGCCCAGCTCTTCGGGCTCACACCACGTGTCTGCAGAGGTGGTTGTGCTTTCCCTCCAAAGGCTGCCTTCGTTGTACAACCCCTGGCTTCATGTTCCCCAGTCAGCTGGTAAATATCAAGACCATCATCAGGGAGAAGTTTGGAAAAGCACCCAACATGATCCCTGGCGCTATTATTAGTTTTGTTCACCACAAACTTGACTGAGCAGTGTTTGTTAGACACTTATAACTGTTTCAATCTACATATATTTCATATCAAATTGCAGGCTGGCAGAAAAAAAAGACATTAATTTGTAAAGAAACATTAAATAAAAGAAACAGCATCCTTATTCTGCAAATGATTACAGCTGAATTGACATTAGTAAAAGGGCAAGCCACCCAAGTTAGGCATATGCTCAATGATAACGGCAGCTGCTCCTAAGGCACAAGCAGAAATGTCAATACAGGTTGATACCATTCCAGTTTAGTTTATGTGATAGCAGCAAGTTATCATCTTAAGGAGTTTATTAATATGTATGCATGTAGATATACTCCACTCAGTATTAGATAGAAGTGTCTTTAAAAAAAGAACACAGTTGTATTAGGACCATAAAATTTAAAAATCACATGCTCATGTATTCATTAATTTCAGTACAGTGTTCAGCAGTGTTCAGGGAAATGTCTCTATTTTAAATTATGCCAGACACTAATCTGCTTTCCACCAGCTGAAAGAAAATCTGGCACTATATTAATTTCTCAGGACATATTAATCATTAGCTTTTGTTTTGTGAAGATCAAATGTTCTTACAAGCCCCAGGTGCTCTGGGATCTTCATTTACCCGAGTGATCTGCCTGGTCAAAGCAAAGCCTCTGCTCGCAACAGCCCCCGGCTCCCAAGGTGCCTTCCTCTGCTGCTCCACAAAAGCCAACCTCGTCTCCTTTCTTGAAATGCCACTTTGAGAAGCACAGGATTTATATTAAAATGAGAATGTGCTAATTAGTCCAGGTGGGGAAGAGAAGAGCTTCTGCTGTCCAATTATTTGAGGGAGTCTGGGCAGCCTGCAGTCGCGGACATCCCGGTCTGGCTGGGGATTCTCCAGGTGGCATTCTGGAATGGAACTACGTTCTGGGGCAAGATGCAAAAAAAGCAGAAACCTAATGCAGCTTACAACCACATATAAATTGCATGCACAAGTGATGCTGGAGTTTATATTTTAACTTTTCAACATGTAGGATGACACTTTCAGGACAGCTCTGGCTGTACTCACAGGGACAATTCCAAAGAGARGTCAGGAGCAAGCAAATTCTTAAGAGCTGAAACAGGAGCCAAGACCTTTAACARTGTGGTTTTAAAATGTCAACAGTTCTCTCAAATTTATATCACAGGTTTCTCAAGTATAGACAGCCCCACAGAACATGTGAAAACTTTCTGAAACCCCAAACCTGACCTTTCATGCCATGTCTAGTGTTTCATCCATTCATTTACTTTGCTCAAAAGTAAAACACTGACAAAGATTATAGGCAAAATAAATATTTTATTGGTTTAATATACTTTTTT